TTTTTTTTTTTTTTTTTTTTTTTTGAGAACGGACGAAAATCGGTGCGCGCGCAGGATGTCATCCATAAAATTAAAAAAGTGTGGCCTTATGAAGAACAGATATGTCCCTCTTTAAAATAATCTCCTTTAGGATTGATTATTTTGTTTAATAAATTATTTTTTCCTCATCAAAATTGTCCTCATCTTGGCTACATAATTATGTAGTATTCATCTTCCTTGTGTCTTGTAAATCGTTCAATTTTGATGCTCCCAATGTTGTCCTATTTCTAGGTTACTTGTTAAGAATTTTAGCTTATGCACTAGAATATGATTATTTGTCAATTTATCTTGTGCATTAATTAAATTCACTTTTCTTTTTAGAATATTAGTAGTTCAGCTGTTATCCTGCATCCTATCTTTGACATTTATCTTAATATTTTAGTTATTTAAATTACTTTCATTTATTTACTCACTTACTCTTAAACATGTCTTGAACTCTGCTATTTTTGCTCTCTTTCTGCTCGGACGTAGAGTTATATTTAACCTTCTTCACTGTTGTCCGTTTTCTAGGTCACTCATTTAGCTGTTCTCAGGGCAGCTATAGCTCTAGCTACTCATCCTGCAGTAGACAGAGCTATAGTCGCTCTCTTCCCAATGTACCAGGATGTACAAATACTTGTGGTATGTCTTCATACAGGGATAGAAATCATCACTGACACTGTATTTGTGGGGAAATATTGGTCTCATCTTCACTATATGACGTAGTGCTTTTATTGCTTGTTTGATTAGTCTTGTATTTGCCCAAAAAAAAAGAGGGTAGAAAAGAAAGTATTTCTTATTTCCTCCAAAGCTTGCATGCTACCGAAAGAAAAACATTAACTAAATGAAATATTCAAATCTAAGTTAATATTGAATTTCGATTAAATATATGAATTTATGCCGTCATGGTTTTTCACTTAAAGCTTATAAAATTTTAAAAAAATATTGTGTTGTGAACATCTTAAATTGTCTCTAAAAGATGCTGAATTGTGAATTGCATTCAAGTCAGATTTAAATTTATGTGGAACTAAAGATGATTCATTCCACATAAATAAAATATTGAAGGGGGGGGGGGGGAGGTGAAAATTCTGAGCCATTACCCTGGCAAATCTTGTGTTGCATCCAACCTTGCTCTAATGAAAGTAGAGATTTCTATCCCTGAACTTGCATGCAACAAGTCAGTAGTTCATTTCGTTTTAAAATATCATAGATATAAGCTTCCTACTTACATTTTTCTTATAAACTAATATTTTTGAGGTCCCTTATGAAAGATTTAGTTTAACAGGACTGTATTGAAGCATGAAGCAGCCTTTTGCAGTAGATGTCAGCAGTGATTTTTAAAAAATAATTTTGCATCAAAGATATTTTCATAACCTTGTCATGATTAATATCCCAAAATAACCTTAAGTCCATTTTAACATTATGATCATCAGTCTACTTCATAATGAAGCATGGAAGCTTGTAATCCTGCATAAAAGCCGTTTCTGTATACAAATGTCCTTCCTTATGTCACCTAGATAATTCTTTCAACATCAAAATGTTGTGTTTTCCTTAAAATTGGGTCCACCTAGCTCAGTGCAACACACAGAAGCAGCCCGGATTTTGATTAGGATAAAAAATTTACTTGTCATGGAAATCCAATACTTTGGCACACATCTGATTCAATATTATGATGGTTGGCGGGACAAGAGAGGGATCAGATAGGCTGTCTACAGTGATGTAATCGCAATCAGACAGCCTGTTGAGATTGGATGCACTGAGCAAAATTGACCCAACTTGACTGCTAACACGACTTAAGACTTATTACTAATGATGTACCTCATCCTAAGCTTTACTAGTAACTATGACTTAAAACATCTTCTCCCCAAACCCAAGTAAACCAAAAATATGCGGCCCAGTGCTTAACCTTTTAGCCATACCCCTGAACCTTAACACCATTTTCTGCCTGTTATATTAACCACTCCATAAAAACCTATTTCACCTAGGCAAAGTATCTGATTCACTTGATGCTAAGTCCTCCTCTGTGAAGAGAGCAATCGAGAAATGTCTATTGCCATGTGCTTATGAATAATAAACAGCAGTATAATGTGTTAAAAGTAAAGAGCATATTGTATAATAATAATAAGTTACATTAGAATTAACAATTTGAAAGGCATGATCATGTTTTAGGCTAGCGTAACCTTTGGTGCAAAAAATTAATAAATTTCTTCATTTATTTTGTGTAAGGCATGCCTGTAATTTGTGTCTGAAAAAGAGGTGTTTTGTAGCTGAACATATAGAGATAGGTGTGCCCACTCAAATGGTAAAACAAATGGGCCTCTTAATGCTTCACAACATGGGCAGTGGAATATTTTTAAAATGTTTATAATAGTAATTATTATTACTTATTTATTTATTTATTTATTTATTTTTTACAATTAAGTTCCATGTCAATTGATGCTTGTGCAACATACACAATTACTTCCTGCACATCAATTCATTGTTATTTTACTTTATTTTCATTTTTTCTCCCTTTTTTTTTCAGCAGGCAACCAGAGCCTGTCTGCCTCTAACATAGATTGGCTGGCCAATCTGGATGCATTGAAGGAGAGTGTGAGGTTGGCAGGGACCAGCCAGCTTGACTGGCAACATATTGATATGACACAGTTTCAAGGTAGTGTCACTGTGTGTGTGTGCGTGTGCGTGTGCATGTGTGTGTGCATGTGTCAAGCTTTGTAGTGGGTCACCATATTTGACACGCAGACTAGTTCTGAATGTGGCCTTTGTGTGTGTGTGGGAGGGGTGGGGGGAGTGCTCCTAAGAGAGAAAACAAGTCGGCTGATCTCAAAAAATGATTGTCAGCAGAAAAATATTATTAGTTGAAGAGCCAAAAAGTAAAAGGAAAAAATAGAACTTTATTATTATTATAGTCAGAATACTTTGACTTTAAGTGAGATCAAAAAATAATTGTGGAAAATTGAAGATAATTAGATATTATACTGAATTATTTGCATTCAGGTTTGATGGAAAGCATGAAGCAAGCGGACCAGAATAACTGGTCTCTGAATCCACAAGAGTTTGCAGACCTGGCATCGTCGCTAAATTCATTTTTCCAGCAGGCGGGGATCCTGCAGCAGTCTCAGCAGGGGGTCCAGGTGAACTATGACCTCTTTAACAGCCACAATAGCCATCACAGTTCAGCTTCTAGTTCTATCTCAGGTAATTATTTTTTTTTTTATTTGTATCAGTTACATTGTGGGTAAAATTCATTCCAACTGATTTAAGACCAACTCCATGAATCGGGGCTCAGTGAGCATGTTTTTACACATTAATGATGCAGTCAGACTTCAATGAGGGGCTGCATAGATGAAGTGATTGATAATTAAATCAAGTTCTTATTAACTTTCATGCCTCTACAGTTACATTCACTTTATGATATTACTTTAAAGAACTACAGTGATTCATGCTTCATTTGGTACAAAATTTGCAGTAGAGGCAGCACATGTCCTCAACCAAGAGAAGCCCAAACCTGTACCTAAAACCTGTTCACTGTCTCCACTTTCAGGCAACTATAACAGTCACTCCAGCTCCCAGGCAGGATCCCTTATGAGTAACAGTGGCACCCATCTCATGCCCCCAACACCTGGCTCTCAGCACTCCCTTAGTCCTCAGATCAGCCCAAGGCAGATGCAGGTAAACCACCTTGTCACATCCAGCAGTCTACGACCACATTCACAACTGCAGACTGAAAAAGATATATTAGGATATACTGGGATTAAATTGAAGCCAATAGATGAGACCCAGATATCTCTTTATGTATCTTAGGTTTTACTAAAAAGTGATATAAATTTAACACAGATTTGTGTGTGTTTTTTTTTTTTTTTTTTTACTTTTCTTGGACAAAAAGCATTTACCTATTCCACCTGTCAGCCTCTTAAATGATTCTTACTTTATTTCACATATAATTATAACCATACGATTGTTGCTTGTCTTTTTCAGCATTCTGGTAGCTACAACCAACACATGCCAATGAATCCTCCTCCCCCTCCACGTCAGCCGCCACCACAGTACAACAGCAAGCCGTCAGATGAAATAGAGTTTGAGTTTGACTACGATAAACTGTTATAGATATAAAAATTTCGACTTTTTTGACAAGGTACTGGTGGGGTTGCCACCTGCACTTTTTGAACAGCAGGACTTGAGAAAAAAGTTTGTGTACCACAGAACTGTAGAGGGCAGCAGCTATGTATATTTACCAGACATTAGAGAGCAGCACTGCTCTTGCAAGACAGTCCCATCCTTAGGTACCATATGTTTATAAAGTGAGCAGTGGATGTACGGAGAAACTGGAGAAAATTTCACTGAGCTTACAAGACAAACGGAAGACAAGGCTGGCATTAAAATGTGAGGCAGTTAGGGCAGCGCTACAGTGCAGCCAAGAGGAGCCCAGTTGTGTTTCTTGCATTCATCAGTTCACAATCTGCCAAAAGAAAAGTTTTTTTCTAAAAGAGGAAGAGATTGCTACAGGGTGATGTTTCCTAAACTACTGACCAAAGATCAGAAAATTTGACCCCAAGTGGACACAAACCTGGTTGTTATCTTTTTAAAAGTGTCCAATGAAAAAAAGAACTTTGTACAAAAGATAACTACAGCTACATGTTCTGAGACTATTTAATGATGACTTATTTTTTTCTCCATGAGTATGATATCTATTTAAAGAATATTTTACGTATTGATGCAAATCCATGCATTTGTTTGTAAATATAAAGATATAGTTATTTCTGTGTGACATGCAGTTATATTACTGAAACCGTCCAGAGTTTATATAATACAGAGAATGATGACTTTCATTATAATATACACATATTCTACATTATATAATTATATATATATTGTGTTTTATATATTATGTAGATTTGAATGTAAATTGTGTTATATGTATATTATACCTTTTTGTGTTTGTAACATATATGAAATGTTGTTTAGAGATATACATGTATGATATATTAAGTTATATTTTGTAATGAGTTTTGAAGACTATTATATATTGGTAAGAAGATCAAGCCCTATGTTGTGTTTTATCCTATTATATGATAGATATAAGGAAAATTGCCTTTTCATGTCATGGATCAGGGTTTAGGTGAGAGTTTATTGTTGATACTTGTCTTTATAATATAGACAGATCATGCTAGGGAAACGACCCAAAAAACAAAGCTTTTAGTGTGGTACAAAGTATTTCAATGAAATTTTTGTTTTTAACATAGTAGTAAATTGTTTTTTTTTCTGCGTCGTCTCTTTGAATCTGTTATGCTGACTGCATTTTCCATAATGATACCTTACTTTTGTGACTTTCTTTTTATTTACTTCCAACCCTTCAACCCAATGTTCCCATTTTTATTAAGAATTTAATTTAATTGAAATTTTCACTGTTATTATTATTTAAAAGCCGAGAGGCAGTTCATCGTGTTGTGAGAACTAATTCAGGAATTTAGAAGAATTAATTCCAACTCTGGTTGTGATCCCAGACTATTGAAAATCAATTAGTCACTAATTCTTTTGTGTTAAAATGAAAATGCCAAAGTCTAACATCAGGTATTTAATTTTTGTGACAAATATAAATGTTGTCTGATCTGGGTTATATTTGTTAGATATTTGTTGTTTTCTCTCATGAAGATACAGGATTGGTCCCTCCCTTTATTTGCACTGTTATATTGAAACATTTCTTTCACTTTCTACTTGTTTCACATTTCATGTAATTCGATAAATGTTTCAGTTGTAAATATGTCAATACAGTTAGTGCATTTTTGGTCGGTTGTGCCTTATTTAAGGTAGGATAATGTATTACATTTGATCTTGAAAATTAACATGTTTGGTGTGAAATTGATCGCATACAGTAGCAGCACAATGATCATAGTATTGTTGTTAACATGTTATTGCATAAAATGTTTCTCTCTCATTTTGCAGGCTTTATTCTAGTCATTGTAGTGCTAAGAGAAAAATTGGAATCTTGACTTAGATGCTTAATGACTGCAATGGAGCATATACATAATTTAACCAAATTCTGAACATGTCATGTACGTTTGCCCCAAGTTTTATGAGTGCAGTTTTAATATGACACTACTCTACCCAGTATCCATTACACTGAGTTTCACAGCAATATGTGTATTGATGGAGACTTTTTGAAAAAGTCTTAGTTTTACTTCTGAATGCCAATATTTTTACTGTCACAATGGTAACATTAGTTGTATTGCTGAACTTTTCCTTTTGATAGCCTGCTTTTTCTTTTTCGTTTCCAAATGTGCATGCATGCCGGGTTTTCACTTTTGAAGTTCGGTAGCATTTGACTGACTTTTTGCAGCCACTGACAGTTGTATCAACTATGTCGTGTGCAGGTATGATGCAGAAGTAAGCTTCATGCATGCACTTGTGCACCGAATGTCACACTCGAAAAGCATGCACACTTGCTAATTTTAAAACAAAGAAACTGACCCACAATAGATGTAGCTCGCAGTTAAAATTGGTTGTGTTGTATATACTTCTTGCTGGATGATTGAATGTGAAAATAAGCAGTTGACCTGCTATTTGAAAGTATGGGTAGTAAGGTAATGAGTCTTATTTCTTCGAAATTATCAATCTTTCAGATAGGTACGTAATTTTGGAATCCTTGAAAGTTGTATTTTTCTATAGGATTTTGTGGTGCTTTTGTAGAATTAAACTATAGGGTAGCCTGCTTTTCACTTTTGTTGCAACCATTCAATAGGAATGTTGAATTTAAAGACTTTAAGACATTAAAATATACAGTTTAGGTAAAATTCACATTTTTTCCCATTGAAAAGAATGTGTCAAACTATCCTTATGGGCTCTCTTAACTTAAGCTCTCATGGTTCCAATTCGGATCAAGCTAAATGACTTAATGCTAATTGTAACCAAGCTGGCGTTAACTTTGCCTGATGATAAAGGGGACAAACTTTCTACTGATGTTTTGTGAGGAAAGTTGATTTTATTTATTTATTTATTTATTTATTTATTTGTTATTTTTTTTTTTGAATGACTGCTTCAGATTTAATCCACCAGAGGGCATTCTGAGCGTGACCATGAAATCGTCATCAGTTGAGAATAAAAATAAAAGACCTTATAAATAGATTAGCTGTTTGCAGACATGAACCTCAGATCTGTGAGAGAGAATGCCCAGATTAACAACTCGATCCACAATTTCATAGCACCAATGTAAAATTAACAACCGCCAAGCACTGTGCTTCAAAACACAAACCATAAATTCACCAGCCATTCGATAAATTTCTTATGTCCCCAAGATTGTAAGGAATGCATTGCTGCCATATTAATATTCAGTGTGGATAGCAGGTTATAGGGAAACATCAGCTTTATTTGTTTTGACACTTTTTATTAATCCTTTTTCTTTCGTCAAGGAAGTAGAAAGAGGAGTAAATGTAACTCTTTTTCAACTAGGAATCTCTGAAAGATGCAACATGTTCTTTCCCATATTCTTCTACCATATTGATGAAAAAAGAACATGCATGTGTACAGGCAGAGACTGGGATTAAGGCTGGCCATATTGTCAGTGTTCATGTTTTATTTTCCATTCGTGGACTGAAATCATGGATGGTGTCGTCTATTTGGGCATTCGTGCTGTAACCATTTCATCACCTGAATCTTTTAGTTGACTTGGACTTGGTAATGCATAATCTAAGTTTCAGAATTATTGTGGTATTAAGAACCCCATTCATGCTTCAGTTCTCAACCAATGACTGCAGGGGCGGATTTAGGGCATCTTCTGGGTCTTCCGTAAGACGGTCAGATTTTCAAGTTTACATTGGCGGGTATCTAATTTTTTCTGTCGGAAGACGGTCAAAAATGAAGAACGGATCAACAAAGATAATTTGGAAGACTGTCAGGAAATATCTCTGGATCCGCCCCTGATGACTGCATCCCTCTGTGCTGATCAGTTAATTGGTCATGATCTCAGAATAATTGGATAATTGGTTATGATGGTTAGATGTTAAATTTTGTAAAAGATGGCACATTCTTTCTTCTTTTTATTATTATTATATAACTGAAATTTTACTGACAGTCTGTTTTTAGAGGCTTACAAGGTGACCAGTGGTCAAGAATTTTAAAACTACACGAATGTACACAGTGTGTCCGAGGCTAAGTGTCTCACTTATACAGGACTTATGATTTTGATTCCGTCCAGATTGTTCCTTGTACAATTTATGCACAGACACAAATTCATAACTTAGTAAACATAGATTTTGCACGTATCATACATAGATGTTAGTATTGCTGATGGATTTCAATCTGTTCATTCAAACAGAACCTAAGCTGTGTAGAATTGTTGGAGAAAATAATGAAATATAAATATGTATAACTTATCTGTAAGGGATTTTGTGTTTATAATAGTGTATAGTAAGTAAGATGACTATCATTGTATTTACTTTATAGGCGGTATGATATTTGCCCCTGCCTGTTTAACAATGTATTGGTTTTAAGTGGACAGAGGGTCTTTTTTTTTCCTTTGTTAAAGAGGTGGCCAAAATTATAATAATTAAGTGCAGGTGTGAGTTTATAATTAGACTGCACAATAAAATAGGCATACAAATTACTTTGCCGAGAGCCCAGACTAAATGCATAAGTACTGATTTACATGGCAAGCATGCAGACCTCTGGGGGAAATTGTACAAGGATTTATAGGTTAAGATGAGTTCCCGCAATCTGCTTTTACAATCGTTTAACAGCATTTAGCATTTATATGTAAAGCATAGGGAGAAAAGTAGTGCTTGGGACAGATTGTTTGCCTATTTATTGTGCAGAATGATTTGAGTAGAGTTCAGAGAAAGGAGGCAGTTTTAGAAGTTTTTTTTTTTTTTTCATGTGCTCTTCTGTATACAATGTATATGAAAGATAAAATAAATTGCGCCTGGTTACAAATCTAAGGTGTTTTGTTTCAATTATATTTCAAAAGGTCTAAATTCTATATTTTCAAATGTGTGGAGAAAGTGGGCAGTTTTATTTCATTTTTTTTTCATGTGCTCTTCTGTATATAATGAAACTATATAAAAGATTAAAAAAAAAAAAAGGATTGCACCTGGTTACAAACCATATATAGATGTTGGGCTATGATATAATTCCTTGATTCTACACCTGGAGAGACAGTCTTAAAATTTGTGTTGGTGGGGAAAATCCCAAGGAGAGCACCTTGAAGTTGAAAATAGGGCATGAAAAAAGATGAAACATCCTTACATTTTCTAAATAGTAAAGCCAGCTTAATATATGCTTCTTTGTTTCTTTTGTATAGATGGATTATTCTCTAACACTATTTTTCAAAGAAAAAGTTTCATTTCACTTGGAGTTGGGTTTATCTTGTTTCTTTTGTATAGATGGATTATTCTCTAACACTATTTTTCAAAGAAAAAGTTTCATTTCACTTGGAGTTGGGTTTATCTTGGTCACACAAATTGAAGCTGCTGACATCTATACCTGAGTAGAAATATCACCGCCATGATGTGACCAAGGTAAACAAAATTAAGGTAAATTGAAATAGTTCTGGTTTATTTGGTATGTTCCCATTGTTTAATTTAAACTTATGTGGAGATTCGAAAGAAGCCATTGTGTTACATGGAGAAAAGATGGTCATCTCTCTTTGAAACGGGCAGTATCAGATTTTTTTTAGTGTTTTGCCAAAACAGTTTGGTTTATGGTTTCTTGCAAGTTTAATAATTTATCATTCATTCAGTTTCATACAGATAACTTTGTGTTCTTATTTCAGCGTTAAACGATTTTTATTTTGAAGAAGCGTTGAAAAAAATCACGATGTGGACGTATTTCTGGGCTCACAGCATGTACCACCTTACGCGGTGGTTCCCTCAGAACAACCGAGCTAAAATGTGAGTGAACCACTTGAACATGTCTGAGACCACAGAATAGGGAAATAATTTGTAATGATTTTGAACTGAAAATTCATTTACGGCAAATTCAAATGATTGATTTGACATTATTTCCCTTTTCTGTGCATTGCATGTTCCAGCAGTAGCACATGTACATACCATGCAGTATCTGATTTTCAGGTTCTAGTGGAAACTATCTCTCATAATGGCATTAAGCTAGGTAGAAGCAAAAAGTTACCACAAATGCTTTCATAAATAAAACACGCATAGAGACACTATTTAAGACATTTCTTAGTAATTTAAAAAGACAATAATAATAACTTATGGTATCCATCCATGTATAATAGAACTCAAAAGCAATATTTATTTTGTAGATTTAATTGTCTTTTATTTATTTATTTATTTATTTTTAAAATTCTCTTTCAGACGTATCATCATTCTGATCTTCAGTGCTGGGGTGTTGTTTCCGCAGTTCTTTGTGATGACCAGAGACCACAGTGGCCGTTATTGTGGTCAAAACTTGCTGGAATTCTTGATAGCCACCATTGTTTTTACACTTATGATGATAGGTACCAGATATTTAAAACTGAAACCGTTGTTTTTATATGAAAATTATGATATTCTCCACCCCCTCATTGTCCACCCCAGGGGACAGTCTACTTACATCAAGAGCAGTTTTTACACAATTAAATTAATCCACAGAGCAATCTCTTTTCTAAAGGCTTCAGTGCTACTATGATTAAGCCTAGATGAGATTAAATTGAAACCAATTAGAAGATTACGAATTTTAAATGTTGATCTTAATTAATTTTTCTTGAGCATATCTATTTACAGATTCAAGAAAAGTATTTTCTCATTTTTCTTCCAGGTTTCACCTTTATCTTTACTATTATGGAGCCCGTACCTAGGGAAGTAAAACTTGCCTTCCACGTCTTTGGTATCGTCACATTTGTTTTTGGGTGCATATCTACGATACTAACATCCCTAGCAGGAGATTGCGTAAGTAGGGAAAAAAAAAACATTTCCATGTTTGTCTACATAAGTGAACTCTAGCACTCCACATACTATTGTGTTAACAGTCTTAAAAATATAGTTGACATAAAAAGAAAATCATTTTAGTTTTTCACCTTATTTCTCCTCTCCTTCACTTGCCTCATACTCTAGCAGACAATACTGGTAAATTATCCCCCTTCTGTCGATCTGACCCACACCAAAACACCTGTCACCAATAGTATTGCGTGTCTTATAGATACAGTGACTTTTATATAAGATCTAAATGCAGATCTTTTGTAAACTACATTGCCATTGGACCGTAGTTATTTTGTTTTTCCAGAGTCAGACCACAGAGGAGCTGTATTATTTCTCTTTAGCCATGGCTATTGCTTCAATGTGTGCTATAGGTAAGTCTTGTAAAACGTAAACCACAAGTCGGTAAATTATTTTTCCTTCATCTCAGCAACTGTGCCTTAAATGTGTCTATTCAAGGGGGGCGTCTCGATAGTCCGAAGGTTCATTGGTCCGAGAAATGGTGGTAACTTTTTCATCGTTTTTTTAATCAAGGGTTCATTGGTCCGAAAAATGGTGGTAACTTTTTCATCGTTTTTTTAATCAAGGGTTCATTGGTCCGAAGGTTCTATAGTGAACATTCGGACCAATGAACCTTCGGACTATTGCTACGGCCCCCTATTCAAGACCTTTGTTTACAGTTTCAAATCAAAAACTAATTTTTTTGTATTTTATGCAAGAAAAGAAGATAAAAAATGAAATAAAATAAGAGATGAATGAATAAATTTGGTCTTGCAGCATTCTTTGCCGTCATGGTCCCATTCTGGCTGATTAACTGGCGATGGAAGAAGTCTGTTCTTGATGTGCAGAACCGCACAGGATTGTGTTATGAACCAGTCAATTGTTGTCAGTGTCTGTGGCACATCTAACACAGCTAAACAAACTCAAGACAAAAAGTGGATCATTGTGTATTTAAGAGCAAAATTTTGGTCATGCTGTGGACCATGATAAATTCGAGATGCACGTACCAGTAGTCAAGTTTAAATATCAAAATATTTGTCAGTTACACAACCGAGAAATAGTAGCTACTAGTATTTGATTTTTAGCTTAAGACAAACTAGTGGAAGGCAAAATGTTCAGCTGCTGTTATGAAGCCTGACAAGTAAAGATCAGTCAATGACGCGCAAACCTTTGATCCCTTTTAGTGAGATAACATTCATTACTACAAGAAGGCATATTTATATATTTTTACAAGGAAGTTTTTGTAAATTTTATCTCTGTTCTTATTTGAATCTTATCTTTGACAGTTCAAGTCTGTTCCTGTGTTAAATATTATTTGTAGGTAGTACAGCAAAAAATAATGTAGTAACTGAATTATCTTTATTGTACTCGCATCTATTCAGATTTTTTTTAAAATTAATTTTATCTAAATGTGGATTTCTTGCTGTCTAGTTAATGCAGATTTTGCAGGATTAGATTGTTTACATCAGTTTAGGTATGATTAATTATTTCCTGGAAATATATGTCAAGTAAATGAATCATTGAGGTCCTGCTGGTAAGGATCAACTGATAATATTTTGTATGTACTTTAAATAAAACTTAATTCTTGAAACAAAGTCCTCAAGCTTCAAATTGTGAAGCTACAATCATTCTACAAGTCATTTGGCTGAATGAGGGATTAACTTTGCTTTAGTTGTATAAGAAATGACTAGTGGTTTCTATGTGTTACAGTTATCCAAGCTCGCTTCAAATATATAAATAACGGAAGACAGAAAAGTGGGAGAGGGGGTAGAAAAAACAAAATTGACATAAAAGTGGTGTGCAATAGTTTATTGCTCACATTTTCATAGCCANTGACAAGTAAAGATCAGTCAATGATGTGCAAACCTTTGATCCCTTTTAGTGAGATAACATTCATTACTACAAGAAGGCATATTTATATATTTTTACAAGGAAGTTTTTGTAAATTTTATCTCTGTTCTTATTTGAATCTTATCTTTGACAGTTCAAGTCTGTTCCTGTGTTAAATATTATTTGTAGGTAGTACAGCAAAAAATAATGTAGTAACTGTATTATCTTTATTGTGCTTGCATCTATTCAGATTTTTTTTTAAATTAATTTTATCTAAATGTGGATTTCTTGCTGTCTAGTTAATGCAGATTTTGCAGGATTAGATTGTTTACATCAGTTTAGGTATTAGTAATTATTTCCTGGAAATATATGTCAAGTAAATGAATCATTGAGGTCCTGCTGGTAAGGATCAACTGATAATATTTTGTATGTACTTTAAATAAAACTTAATTCTTGAAACAAAGTCCTCAAGCTTCAAATTGTGAAGCTACAATCATTCTACAAGTCATTTGGCTTCATAAAATATGTTTTGGCTGAATGAGGGATTAACTTTGCTTTAGTTGTATAAGAAATGACTAGTGGTTTCTATGTGTTACAGTTATCCAAGCTCGCTTCAAATATATAAATAACAGAAGACAGAAAAGTGGGAGAGGGGGTAGAAAAAACAAAATTGACATAAAAGTGGTGTGCAATAGTTTATTGCTCACATTTTCATAGCCAGATGTTGCCATCATAAATCTTTACACAAACTAACTTTTCAAGCATATTACATTTTCGTCTTCCATCCATCCTTTTTCGGTAAGAAAAAAATCATTGATAATAATATGCAAATAAAAGATTTTCTACAAATAAAGGTTGGACTGCTGACAAAGATTTAAAGCATTGTCATTCAAGGTGACACCATACCAACAATGCTTACAACAGAGGTTTTCTATATTGTAAACAGTTTTTCATTTTTTTTTTAAAGTAATACTTTGAATACAGATTCTAAACAGAATCTTTTTAACGAACATATCAAAAAATATAAAAACAAAAGTAAAGACCAATTGATGTTAAATTCAACTTTTTTTACATGCAAATATCTTGGTCTCATGCATGGCGTAATTTTGCCAAATGATGTTAGGGCTCCAAACGCTTGCGGTTGTCACATGTTGTTAAGGCGTTTCCTTGTAATAATTGTCAATAAATTCAAATTTCTGATGAAAAAGGCCCTCCAAATGTTTCTTGAAATTTAGGGCTAGAATAACTATTCAATTCTTCATACGGTTGCAATTGTAACAAAAATTGTCAGCTTTTCTATGAGGCAACATTTTTTCCAGTTCCAGCCTTCAAATATAATGGGAATAAAATTCTTATTCCCCCCAAATAAGGAAAAAAAATCCTCAACAGAATTCAAAAGGCCAAAAACTGATGTACCTCATAAACAACCTGTCAATTTGAAGGTATTTCAATTCAAGCAAGTCTACTACGATGTTTCCACTACAGCAGCTCTGTTCAATGCCATCTTTTATTGCTGCTTTGAGGGGTGGCTCTGCCTGGTGAGGACTGTCTACACAGTGGTCTCCCCATCCTGGTGAGATGGTTCCTTGAGGATCTCCTGTCCTCCATCCCCATTCTCAGCATGGCCACCCTGTAACACAGTGCAGGTTGGGTGAGAACAACAAAATATTTGGAATAAATAAATGTGGTAAAGAAGCATTACTACAAAGTAAAATATGTATTTGAAGTCTAATTGTTGGGATAAAACCAACTGCCAATTCTTATTTAACTTTATATGTTAAGTTGCATGGTTAGAAGACGTTAGTATATTTCAGTGGGATTCTACAGTTATCAATTTGACAAAACAATTTTTTTTTTCATTTTCCTCAGCTAGAAGAAAAAAATACATGAACAAACTTGTAAAGACACCAAAGAATAAGGTATTCATTTATCTTAGAAATCACCTGCTTCAACCAAAAGACTTAATTTCTAAAAAATAAATTTACCTGATCATCACCCTGATCTCGGTCACCCTGGTTCTGTCCACCACGGCCACGTCCTCTTCCACGTCCCCGTCCTCTCCCACGACCTCGCCCCCTATAGTAGCCTCGGTCTCCATAGTAGCGGCGATAGTATCTACGCCTTGGTTGTTGCCCCTCTTCACCCTCTTCTCCTTCAACATGGCCCTGGGGAAACAGTAAATATAAGCATGCACTTCCCACTCATCAAATGCAAAATAAGTTTTCATAAACTAGTGTTTTCCATTAACATCAATTACATTCATTCATTCAGGAGTGATAGAAAAACAACACTATCCAGAGTTTGTGGTGGGCATTGGTTTCTTGGTAAAGAGGCATAGTGTGGACCTTTTATACGAGACCCTAAAAATGCAAGCACAAACGTCTGCAAGGGGGTCAAAAAGGAATGACACCACCACAATATCTGAATGAATCTGCTAGACTTATCTCATTACTACTGAACTGTTCACTCTTTCCTGGTAACAACACTGAGAAAGAAAGAAAAACTGCATGATGCAACTTGTAGAAAGCTGATCCACCAACAGAGCAGAACAAAACAAAAAGAGTTCACTTACATCATCTTCATGCTCCTGTCCTTCTTCTCCCTCACCCTTAGGTGGTCCTCTGCGTCCTCCACGGTAACCGTAGCCACGACCACGTCCTCTGCCGCGTCCACGGCGATGGAAGGGACGGCGCCTGGGCGGGCGATGCTCTTCCCCCTCTCCTTCCTCTCCCTGGCCTTCTTCACCTTCTTCTCCTTCCTCCTAGGAGTAAACCAGCAATAACACTAACACATGCTTCACTGATAGCACTGTGACATCAACAATACTCATCTACACCCACCAGACAGCCATTTGGTCTGAACTGGGAGACAAAACTGATTAAAACCATTTCGTTTCCAACACGATTTAAAAATGTTCTTACAGAAAGTACCACAAAGATTTTGACACAAGCCAAGACAGGCAGAGAGAGGCAATCTGAAACTTATGCACAAAATTGGAATATGTCTGACAGTTGCCAAATGAGCTGACCAAGGCACTCTCATTGGGTAGCTAGGATGTGTGAAATTCACACCTTGATTTCCAGTTTGAAATTGTCCCTGCACACAAGACTTCTTGAATTATCATTTTTAGTGGACTACCATATCTATATAAAGAAGTTACATAAATAAATCCCTCTTCTCTCTTGTTAAATCTTAAAGCATCTACTTTACAAAGCACATGTTGGCCAATTTTATTAGAAAGTTTCACAAAACTTAAAAAAAAAAAATTGCAGTAACTGACCTGCATGCGCCTACGCCCGCGTCCTCCTCGACCTCTATAGTATCCCCTGTACCGACGGCGGTCAGCAGCATACTTGCTACCCTGCACAGCTGCTCCCTCCGGTCCAGTGACTTGGGCAGCCTCATTGCCCTACAGCAAAGGTAGAAATCTGACGTGCATAAACAGCCTCAATGAACTACTTTCTCATTCTTATATTTACACACACACACACAAACACACACACTGCCATATGGGCAACAGTTTTATAAGATAATATTAATAGGTAACCACAATATCATTTTGTGCCTGTTATAAGTTGAGACAAAGTGGACTTCAGCCTTATCTATCAGACAAGAAAAGGGTTCCAGGCATTAAAGACAAACATTCACAAAACCCACTCATATAGATAACATTAAGACATTGAACTTTACAAAAAGGTATCTGGGTACAAAACCACCTACTTTCTCTCCTTCTACCACGTCAAACTCCACTTTCTCACCATCCCCCAGGCTGCGAAGGTATTTCTTTGGATTATTCTTGATGACGGCAGTTTGATGGACAAACACGTCTTCTTTGGTGTCATCTCTGAAAAAAAAAAAATTGTATATATTTTCTTTTAGTTTGTACAAACAACAGATACTCACACAGATTTTTAAAACTTTTTTCCAATCTGTTCCACCAGCAAGAACTTTGTTCTGAATACTTACAAAAAAGCATTTGTAATGGATTGAACCATTTTTAGCCATTTTCCATTTAAGTTTACACCAGATCACCTTAGCTTCTTATACGGGAGAAATGAAAAGAGAAAGAAAGAAAAAAGAACAAATGTAGTAAGAAGCCCTGAAAGGAAGATTTTTTCCTTAAAAAAATTTATGACATATTATATTTAAGAGTAATCAGCCTCTTGTTCTCCTTTGTTTACAAAATTATCTTACCTATTAATGAAGCCATACCCGCTCTTTACATTGAACCATTTCACAGTGCCAGCGACCTTAGTTGCTGAAAAAAAATATATTCACTAAATATCAATACCTGATTAAATCTTAATTAACTTTAAATAAATTTATCCTTTACCAAACAAACAGTATTTTGTAAGTTAATTTAACCGTGTCTAATTGCATTTTATTTTTCTAAAATAAAAAAACAAGGCAGCAANTTCTGCAAGTTTCAAATCAAAAGGCAAAATGGTTTTCCACTTATCGTGTTATCGGTAAAAGTGCACGGCGACGGCGACGGCGACGACAGCGACGACGGCGACGGCGACGACAGACGCAGATGATGGCTATATGTACAGACACATCTGTGTCTGTACATAAAAATGAAACTAATAAAATAATCTAGGTCAGGTCATTTACTGATAGTGATACAATAATAGTAACCAATAACTGTGCACCGGCAAGCAAAGCGTTGTAAATTCATTAAATGCATTTTCAAATATTTATGATGAATAAATTTTTTTGGGTAATTTTGCAACGATATTTATTACTCAATGCAGATCGGATAAGCTTTTTCACTGCTTCAGTATTTGTACCGTTTCGCCCGGTCAGGTCACCATACACGTGCATCCCTTTAAACCGGTAAAATCTCAAAAACTATGAGAAATCAACAAATTTCATACCGATGACCCTTTTCTCGGTCGCAGCGGGCTTCTCTTGTGGTGTTTCTTCGGCCTCAGACATGGCCCTGATGGTAAAACTGATGTTAAAAGTTGTCCACGACACTGGACTCTGCAGCTCTTTCTCTTTGTTCTCTTCTCTGTGAAGATGGCTGCCGCATGCTGCTGAACGCCCGATCTCTGCGCGCTGATTGGACAAAGTTGCACATGCTCCATTCTGATTGGTCAATAGTGGAGGCGTGCCGAATAAGGAATCGGAAGTCGGTAAAACGAAACGAACTCTGTGCCTGAAAACGGACATGGAAAAAAAGTCGAAAGTAGATCGGGTGTAATTTTTTTTCAAATCAAAACGGTAAGATATAGTATTTAAAGCACAAATGAAGTTTTTTAAGGACAAACTTACATATGTTTAGCTTCTGTGCGTAATCTTAATACCTCGTACAAGGAAGGGGAAGGGGAAGGGTAGCATAATCTAAACTAAAAAAAAAAAACGGGTTGAATAAAAGCTCTATAGCTACTTCACCTCTTCGCTGACCAATTTACAACGCTTAAAGAATAAACAATGAATGCAACTCAGAACTAGGCTATGCTTGGGTTTTTATTTATGTTTTAGGCCTAATATAGGGCCTATATTAGGCCTAAAACATACAGGCCTAATATATATTAGGCCAAATTCTCAGTGTTTTTCACACATGAAAACCGGACGGAATTAGCAGTTTAGCTACATTTAAAAAAATGAAAGGAAAAAAAAGAAAGAAAACGGGCTGATTTGCATAAAAAAAAATCGTGGTTGAATATCTCACATGAAAGCTCTTATGGTCGACCTAAATAGACATACAAAAAAGAATTCAAGTAAGAAAAAAGAATAAAATAGAAAGAAAAAGGTGTCATTGAAATCTTTTAAAACTCAAATTTCCATCAACAATCAGCCTAAAAAACTAATGTATGTTTTTATAAAGCAATTGATAATTGGTTTAATATGTTTAAGCAAGGAAAAAAAGGGTGAGAGAGAGAGGGGGGGGAGGGAGAGATCTACATGTAGATCTGCTTGAGAATGACCAGTAGACCTACTATTGGCCTATCAGGGCTATCATTTTACTAAGGGTTGGAGAAAGAAACAAAAATATTTCATTATCAGCTGCTTTTTAATTTCATTTTATTTCATTATTACTTTTCTTCATCATTTCTTTCGTGGAAAAAATATTTAGTTTTGTCTCAAATCGTCGTACATGTATAAGATCGAAACGAGACAAAACTTGGCACTGTTTTGATTCACTCCTTATATAAGTACCGCGCGTTATTTGGGAGTGGTATGGAGGAGTAGGGCATATACATGTACTCGCACCCAGAACTCAGACGCTATCCTACATCGTAAGAAACGTCTTTTTATTGGCCTCAGAGTGCTTTGTTTCTTTTCATTTCAATTCTCTTCTTTTCTTTTTTCTTTTCTTTTTGAACGTGGATGGAGGTGGGGGCAAATTTGCCCGACTGCTGATGGCGATGGGCTGAATGGGGCATATCAGTAATGAGCTTGGATTGCCAATATCAATATGTGTTTATGTTTGCTACGGTCAAACATATGAAAGTTTAAAGTGCGATATCGTTTAAGATCAGTGTCAATATGATATCAATATTATGGATTAGAAGTGTGATGTGGGACGTCGTTGCTATTAATGTATTTATCAGAGTGGTGAATAAAGAAAAGTAAATTCATGCTATTTATGTTATTATTATTATTATATTTACCTAGTGGGAAATGCAGCAATGAATACAGAAAAAATATGATGATTTCTTTGCTCATTATCTTCTCTTTCCTCTAGGGATTGAGGGAATTGTACGTCGTTTCTAAATTACCAATCCTTTTTTAAAATACGTTGGATAAATGATAAAAAATACCAATTGTTTGGTCAATGAAAAAACTTCTTCTGTGGCAATAACAACACTTTATTTTATTATATTTATCAAAGGATATTTTTCACATACGTTTTACAGTCAGTTGTGGTCTACAGAACATTTTAATCCGATTTAAAAGAAAAAGCGTACCGACGGAAAGGCCTTGTGGCCACACGGTTAATGTTAATACACTGTACCCCTCTAGAGGGCAGCCTAGTAACGTGGTGCGCATGCGTAACCGGCCTCTTTTTCTCCAGTTTGTGACCATAGCGCACGTGAGTAACTTGATTTAACATTTTTGATATGTTTAACAGTAAAATGAAAAGACTGGAGAAGACTTAAGCTTAATGTCGAGTAAATTGGTATTCTAGAGTTTGTCTGTGGGCTATTAAGTTGCTGACTTGGGTTTAAAGTTCTTAGAAACGTGAATATTGCACGTGTCGGCCATCTTGGATGACACATGGATTCATTTGCATGGGTGAGGTTGAGAGATCGCAGGTATCAGTTAAATTAGTAACACACGTGTTTTGTCATTTTCTTAAACTTAAACCAAAAACTAAGCAGCATTGGTCTCTTGTTATAAAACACTGATGTGGCAATGAAAAACGTTCTTAAGTTGGTGTTATTTGTGGTAGTTGCGGGTGATGGTGTAATCACACGAATTCTTCGAAACAAAACCAAGAGATAAGATATTTTGGTAACGATAATTAAAATACCTTGTGTGTTTGCGGCTCTGTTTATGTGAAGGCAAGTATGGTCGAGTATTAGGCTAGTGAAATTATTGATTTGTTAGGTGGTTTTGGTCGATGCCTCTAGTTATTCTCACTAAAGAATGTCAATATGTTTACTTTTTATGAATTATGTTGTCACAGACAAAGGCAAATCAACAAAGGAGGTTATGTGACAATTCTTTCTGATAGTGCATGATATATGCAGATTATCACAACCTTGTAGTAGAAAAGGTTGCAGAGGTTATGGATGTTCATCATGTCTTTTAATTTTTTCCTGAAGTTACAAAAGTTGGATTTTTATTTTTATTTAAACACTACTTCTCTGGGGTCATGTTAAAACTGATACATTTTTGTTATAATTGGTCTGTATACTGTTACAGAAAAGAAATGGGGTGCTACTAGATGTTCTAGTTAATGTGAACACAAATTGGTATTCATAACAATAAGGATCCGGTGTTTCAATATTGATAAAAGAAGCAGATGGATGCAATGAACCATGTTACAGCCCCTGTTTTTTAAGAGTACTTGAAAAGCTTTGGTTAATATGAAAAACAGTATTTATTTGCTGTATAAATACAAAGGGTTTTTTTTAAGAAGGTCCCACATTCATTTTATGTAATATTTTTGCAAAAAAATGCCTAAGATTACTTTAGAGATACACATGTGTTTTAAATTGCCCTATATTCACATTTTCTGTGTCTCCAGTTTCTACATACTTAGTAACCTTTCCCAACCAAGACCTTTAAAACCTTAAAATCTCTCATATTACCTGATAATGATATTTTTGTGTGAAATGAACAAGAAGAAATGGTAGCCAAAATATCACAGTATTCATTACAACTAAATTGTTAAATTAAAAATAGTATGAATATTGATATGTTGAATAGAGTGTAGATGTGAGTAGAAAACGGAAAAGAAAAATGCTGCCGAAATTCCACAAAATGGCATTTTTTATGAACAGTTTAAGGGTTTTAAGTTTGTCAGAACATGTAGGAGTGGAAGTCAAAGTGAAGTTATTTCTGGTTCTTATATCTCTTTCAGTAAACCAAAATGGCAGATGAGTTTCATGATGAAGAATTTCACCAGGCGGGCTCTGGGGCCTCACAGACGTATCCCATGCAATGCTCGGCTCTGCGTAAGAATGGTCATGTGATGTTGAAGGGCAAACCATGCAAAATTGTCGACATGTCAACTTCCAAGACTGGGAAGCACGGGCATGCAAAGGTACAAGATAAGTTGCAGTTGAAGGCTTTTTTTTTTTTTTTTTTTTTTTTTTTTTTTCGCCGAAGGCAGAAAGTTGGTCCGATTACACAGAACTGAAAGTTTACAAATACTTGAGTAAAGGGAGTTGAATAGTCTATAAAAATAGAAAAAAATTATAAATGTATCTGACCAATCACCACTTCTTGTTAGCGGACCATTTTAGATTTAACCTGTATTATAGTATTTCGAAGACCAATTTTTGTTTTGTCAAATTGGTCTGAAAGTGAATAGCAGAAAGGAAAATTAAAAGTGCTCCATTTTGGGCAAAACAAAGATTGAAAAAAAAAACAAGTTGACAAGAAATGGTATACATATATATCAAATGAAAAAACTAGTCTGTCCCAATTAGTACCATATATGTAAGTTAGGTCAGTTGTATAGATGGAAAGATTATTTTTATTTTATTTATTTATTAATTTAACTTCTTGTTTCTTTTCAAGGTTCATTTAGTTGGCCTGGACATTTTTACTGGCAAAAAATATGAAGATATATGTCCTTCGACCCATAACATGGAGGTTCCTAATGTGTCACGTAAGGACTACCAGGTAAGTACAGGGGGAATGGGGTGGGGTGGGGGGGGGGGTAATTTTTGTCAGGTGGATAAAAAAAAATCCCAAATATATAAACATTTATTTTTTCAGAATTGGCCACCTAATTGACACAAAATATTAGTTATGCATGTTTAACTTTTGCTTCAGCTTGGTTTGATTTAAAGTGAGTCTCTTTGACAGTCGGTCCAATTCTGGTCACTGGTAGTAGCAGAACAAGGTGCACATGGATGTAGATTAACACATTGTTGTTTACAACTACTTCTACCTAAATGAAGACTTGCTATCCTTATTATAGATCATAGGGATTAGACTAGATAGCAATTCTTCATTTTGGTAAGAAAAGTGCCATAAAACAGATTTTACTGCGCTAAACACCAATAATTCCATACTAACAAATAGTTAATGAATCTATTCCAACATTCATAGTCAGTTGCCTTATATTAAATAATGATCTCTTTCAATTAGAGATTATTATGAAGGGTAGTCATCTGTTAAGGTCCATGTGGTCACATGGCAAGCACAAATTTCAGAATAATTGTGATAACCACCGTGTTGGTGGTAAAATGGATTTTATTACATTTTTACTGGAATTTTGTATCTAGTGTGCAGACGTTATTTTTATAGCACTATATGTGATGGGGCCGTAGCGATAGTCCGAAGGTTCAATAGTCCGAAGGTTCATTGGTCAGAATGTTCACTATAGAACCTTCGGACCAATGAACCTTTG